CCGAGCCAAATGACCCCAAAACACTGGCCCAGAAAGACCAACACCCTCCACAACTGCAACTTCAAACCCCACAAACCAGAAAACCTGAACCCTAACCCTAACCCTAATAACTGAGCTCTGGGGCCCCAACCTAAAACCCTAAACCCTAAAACCTTACCCCTTCAATAACCCCTAAACCCTGAACCCTAAGCCGTAAACACTGACCCAAATGACCCCCAAACACTGGCCCACAAAGACCAACACCCTCAACAACTGCAACTTCAAAGCCAACAAACCAGAAAACCTGAACCCTAACCCTAATAACAGACCTCTGGGCCCCCAACCTAAAACCTTAACCCCCCTCACCGCGGAACTGTTAAGCGCTCAACCCCAAACCCTAAACAATGCCCTACTTGAAAGGCTGAACTCTGAGCACTAAACCTTGAGCAGTTCGTATTACGTATTTACAGTGCCCAGCTTGGAAGCGGGCATTGGTAGGACCAAGACGGTCCTGCGTACCTCGTACAGTGCAGCCACAGCCCCTCCAGCTCTTCTTCATATCTGATGCCACAGGAAGAAATACAGCAAAGCAGAGCTGAAATTTTCATTAGTCTGAAAACTCACCACCCCTCTTATCTTTCATAACCCCTGAAGTTCTCATTTCGCTAGTCCGAAAATGCACCACCCCCTTCACCTTTCACAACCTCTCATTTGCCTTCAGCGTTCATTTCTTCTTCGTCTCTCTTTGTTCGATTCCAACTATTTATTGTGATTTAAAGGTTTTTTCATATTGCCAGGTGAGCGCATAATTTTCAAAATTCCACGGAAAAAGTATCGGCTCGTATGATCCTTGTGAATGTGATTTTTATGAAACAGACATGCCGACATTTTCCATGGTCGGCTCTGTTGTGACCCTGTGACCATCTGTGTTCTTGTTCTCCGAGAAGCGGTTCCGGGTCATTATAACAAACATCCCGCACCTTTTAAGCCGGACTTGTGACCAGTCCATAGAGTGGACACCAAATAAACCAACAGCAAAAATAAAAGGAAAAATATGAATTAAAGGCGCCTAAAACCCCAAGGCAAAAGTGTTTTTTGATGCAAAATTCGCTCTTTTCAGTTTTTCAGCTAGGCTGTTTTCCCAGGCGCCCGAGCACCCAACTTAAACCGCCAGTACACGGCCCCAGCCTTGCTGAAAAGAAAACTCGCCGCCTACAAAAACTCCGGAGGCTCAGCGCCGTAGATAAATTGAATCGGCGGTGGGCGGCCTCCGAAAAGGGCCCGCGTCCGATAGCTGGAGGTACTGATGGTTTAAGCCCGGGTACACCGGGGCGGCAGGGTACTGGGCAGCCCCAACGCAAAAAAAAAAAAAAAAAAAAAAAAGTTCGTGTAGATTCTGTAGAAAAATATAATTGCAATA